TTAATGAAGTGACAGAGATCGCGAGAAGAGTTCAAGATTTACTTAAAACAAATAAACCCATCGTAATGACAGAAGAAGAGCAAATAGCACATGTATCGAAAAGTACATGCAATCTATGTGAATGTAATTTTTCTAACAAAAACCAAAAGGTGGCAGATCACTGCCATCTATCAGGAAAATTTAGGCAAACTTTATGCAATACTTGCAACCTGAAACTCCAAAAACCTAACTTTGTACCGTGCTTTCTACACAATATGCCGAATTACGAGCACATTTTATCGTGACCGAACTCGGAAATGACACTAAATCAATCTCAGTGATTCCGAACAGCGAAGAAAAATACATTTCATTTTCAAAACACGTTACCAACAACTTTTCAATTCGATTCATAGACTCTAGTCGATTCATGGCATCAAAGTTATCAACACTCGCAGAAAATTTATTAACACCCCAAATATAGTGATTTATATCTAAAAATTGACGTGCTGCTGTTAGCTGACGTGTTCGAAAATTTCAGAGACATGTGCATTTCTGCGTACAATTTAGACCCTGTTTACTACTTTACAGCTCCAGGTTTTATACTCTGTTCAAAATAAGATCGTGACCCGGCGGCCGAGTTGTGCGCATGTGCGTGGCTTTTTTCCGTGGCTGCGCTCGACGCGTCGCTGTAGTGGGGACGGCATCTGGCCATATGTCTGACCGCCGCCCGACGAAAACTGGTCGCCGCCTGGTCACGATCTTATTTTGAACAGAATATAGTTTTGACTGTATGTTGAAATATACCAAAGTCAAACTAGAATTACTCTCTGATTTTGACACCCACTTATTTTTCGAAAATTCAATCCGCGGTGGCCTCACACAAGCAAGATGAGGTACGCTAAAGCTAATAATGAAAAAATCCAAGATTATGACCCAACAAAATCCCAGTCATGGATAGTTTACCAAGATTGTAACAATTTGTACGGATGGGCAATGTCACAGCACATGCCATACGGTGACTTTAAATGGGTGGAGCCTAAGTTAGACGAATTAGATGCTTTGACGCCGACGTCAGATATAGGCAGAGTGTATGAGGTAGTCATATCATACCCTAATGAACTGCATGACTTACATAACGATCTTCCATTTTTACCTGAGAAAAAAATTCCTCCTGGTTCAAAAGTGAAAAAACTTATGGCGACACTTCATTCAAAAAAAAATTACGTAATCCATTATCGAAACCTACAGCAAGCCATAGCAAATGGATTAATTGTAGAAAAAGTACACGAGTTTTAGAGTCAAACAATCGGATTGGCTTGCAAAATACATTAAATTAAACACCGAAATGAGAAAAAACGCGAAGAATGAATTCGAAAAGGATTTCTTTAAACTCTTAAACAATGCCGTTTTTGGGAAAACCATGGAATCTTTAAGAAAACGTTTTAAGATGGAGCTAGTTTCATGTCCACAAAGATTACAAAAACTCATCAACAAGCAAACATTTAAACATTGTACGACATACAGTGAAAATGCTGCTGCTGTCTCATTGGAAAACAAAATTATCATGTTTAACAAGCCAAATATATAGGTAACAATTTTACTTGCATAAAAAAAAAAAATTCATATTTTAATACCTATTTATCATTTTTATTTTATTTTTTTTAGGTTTCGCAGTATTGGACATCAGTAAAACCATGATGTACGATTACCATTTCAACGTAATGAAGGCGCATTGTGGTAATAAAATCAACCTCATGTATACAGATACAGGTAAATAATTATTATTCAATTTTTCTATTACAAACATTATATTTATTATTTTTTTTTTCTAGATTCACTGATATATCATATTAAGACTGACGATTTTTACAAAGATTTGAAGTGCAATTCAAACTTACTTGACCGGATGGATACTTCAGATTTACCGATAGACCATCCATGCTACATTGCCGAACGAAAGAAAATTCCAGGATTGTTTTCCGATGAGGCAAAGGGACAGCCAATTACCAAATTTATTGCGCTTAGAGCAAAGTCATACACTTACATTTTGAACGACAAGGAGAAAATTAAGGCAAAAGGCGTCCGAGGGCATGTAGTTAAAAATCACATGTCTTTCAATGATCATTTCGATTGCCTTTTCGCCGACGACGAAAAAGAGAACTCTAAACTGTATACCAGGGAAAATGTATCCTTCAGATCATTCAACCATAAGGTACGAACAATCAAATCCGAAAAATTATGCTTCAACCGACAAGATGATAAGCGGATAGCACAGGCCGATAGAGTAAGAGTACATACCTACGCTCATGGATATTTTAAGCTCGATTGTTAATTTTATACATAAATATAATATATTTGTAAATTATATTTAATTTTATAAATGTTAAGGTTAATTTATTTTTATTTTGTGAAATATATAGTTATCAATTAGTTTATTATTTTTTTGTAAAATAGCTTTGTAGATATTAAATTGTTTTTGTAATAAAGTCACTTATCATAATTCAAATCTTTTTATTATTTCCGATATATTGCTTTCTTTTCTCACATGTGTAATTCTTTACATTTCAACAGATTTTTCAATCGACACATATGGGTACTATACAGGTCTTGATAAAAATATGAGACAAAAAGTAAATACCTATTTAAAATCTCACAAAAATTTATAATTTCAACAGTCTACAAAACATATATAAATATAGGATTTACTACATCGACTTTAATTTAAATAATTAATACACAAATTTTATTTGTATAATAATATCATATTTTCACTGAAAATATATACAAACTTCTTTTTCATATTGGTAAATTCATAGATACCTTTTGCTAAAAGTTATTATTTTTCTTTAAATTATCTCTATTGTCCTAAAATGAAAGGACCCAAATATGAATCAGGTACCTCAGTTACCTGAATTGAATACAAAATACTAGTATAATATAAATTAAGAATAAATATCATTAATATGATATTGGCTGTATATTCTCTCTATTGTCCTAAAATGAAAGGACCCAAATATGAATCAGGTACCTCAGTTACCTGAATTGAATACAAAATTATTCATCAACCCTTTATATTTTTTTAATTCATTGTTTTGAACATTTTTCTCCGTATTTTAGAGGCAACACTTTCAAATTATCTGTTAGACATGTTTTTTTTTTCAAAAGTCAATAAAAGATAGTGTAGGTAGGTACCTAATTTTAGATTCTGAGCGGAGCGATGAATGTATTGGTTTTACAATGATGTATGTTTTTATATTTTTATATTTTTATATTTTTATTTATATTTTTGTGTCTGTCATCACGTTTTAGGACAGTAAAAGTGCTTGGATTTTCTTCATCAGTAGCTTTTCTGATAGGAAAGTGAATCTAGTTGGTACTTTGGGGGGTCAAAAGTATAAATTTTACAGTAGTGTTCAAAAGCGGCGGGAAAAACAAAATACAAATTAAGGAAAACGGGAATTTTTACACTAAAATCTGTTTTCCAAAAAATCGATTTTGGTTATTGGTGTAACTCTAAAACAAATGAACGTATATACATGAAATTTTCACTGGTTGTTTATATTTGCATTTTCTATACACAATAACATTTTCAAAATGTTTTGATTTATTTTGAACTGTTTAGGGACATTTTCATTTTCCATTTTTTTTTAGTTTTTTTTCTAAAAATATCAATAAAATTTTATTTGTTGGTTGCGAAAGCTTGAAAATTTAATAGAAGGCTCCTAATATGTTGTTTCAAAGGCAGATAAAAAATATTAAAAATCCTTAGTCACAATTTTTTTTTATAAGCATTTAAAGTTCAAAAATTGACAAAATATGGAAAAATCACGAAAATTAGCAAATTATTTTGAGTTAAGAATTCGTAAAAATTTTTCTTTTTAAATCTAAGATTTGAAAATGAAACAAAAGATTCCTTATAAGATTATCTACCTTTATCAATAAAAAAATCTCTACCGGACAGTCAAATTAAATTTTTATGAGCGTTTGAAATTCAAATTTTTACAACATTGGATTTTCACTCGATTACTCATGTAGCGATTTCCTTATTTTGTTGCAATTCAAAAACGAGAACTGTAGATACATGAAAATTTCACTGAATGTTTAAATTAGCATTTTCTATACACCATACAATTTTGAAAATATTTTGACTCTTTTTGAGCTGTTTATGGACATTTACAGCTTTCAATTTTTTTTAGTTTTTTTTTCTATAAATATCAATAAAGTTTTATCTGTTGGGCCAAAAAGTGTAAAAATTTAATACGAGGCTCCTGATATATTTTTACAATATCAGTTAAAAAATATTAAAAATACATAGGCACAGTTTTTTTTTATAAGCATTTAAAGATCAAATTTTGACAAAATTTATCAAAATCTCGAAAATTATCAATCATTGTAATTAATAAATTATAAAATGTTCAGTTTTTATAGCTAAGGATTACAAATTCAACACAAAGGTTCTCATAAATAGTTCATACTATAACCAAAAAATTTAAAAAATATATGAACACAGTTATTTTTTACAGACATTTTAAATTCAAATTTGGACGAAATTACATATTAAAAAACCTAGAATAACTATTTTAGTTATTTTGTTGTGATTGAATAATACTATTCGTGGGTACTTGAAACTTCTAAAGTGTACTATTATATATCTATGATAGTATCACGGTTTTTGTTGATGTATAACGCGTTATAAGTATCTAATGGATATTGTGATATGATTAATTTGGAATTCATTATAGGTCAATTTTTTTAATACCATAGATAAGTATATAATGTCTTATACATACACTGACATACCGTCACCGCTCAGAATCGTTTTTCTTATACAATGATATTATATCATTGAATTCAAATTTAATACCATCCATTATACAGTGACCCACTTGTAACCTACTGTACAGCAGAGCGACACCCACTTGCCCACCTTTTTCATGTTTAAATTACGAAAATGTATTCAACGGATATAAAATTCCACTGGAAACACAAATGATTGGAAACAAAAGTTTGACACTAATGTCATGAGTCTAAACATTTGCAGCAGAGAAGCCATAAAAATCATGGAGGAAATACAAATCAAAGAGGGTCACATAATAAATATTAACAGGTAACTTTATAAATCTTAGTTTAATGAAATTGGATGAATGTGAGTGTACTTTATAATACATTTTAAATAAAAAAAAAAAAAAAAAATATTATGATTCATATAGGCGAAAATTGACTAAATTTTTTGGGGGACTCAAACCTCTCTCCCCAGTCCCCATAGGCCATATTGCTTACTACCATAGAATATAAAAATTGGTAATAATTAGTAGATTTTGAACTATTTGGGGGGACTAAGTCCCCCCAAGCCCTCCCACTTTTGGGCCAATAATGACTCAGCCATTTAGTACTTAGGTGATATTAGTTTTTATAGTTTAATTATTGGATATAGATAACTATATTAACTGAATTTTAATCAAATAACTCCAATTATGATATAATGATACAAATTGTGATTTATTTCTAAGATCTTAACAATAACTGAATAACTGAATAATTATCAACGTGATATAATTAACTATGTTGCAGTGTTGGAGGTCATTACCAATTTCCATTTATGAAGGATATTGCAATTTACAGCGCTACCAAACATACCGTTACTATAATCACAGAGAGTTTAAGAGAATTGATGGGCATGAAAAATTTACCCGTCAGAGTCACGGTAATAAATTAGTTTTTAGGTTAATGTACCTATATAATTCGATATAAGTATACCCAATATTGTGTTTACTGTCTTTCATTAGTTATTAACCCTCCGTGCTGTGATAATCAATTTAAATCTTTATTATTGATTACTAGGTTATATAATATAATAATATAAAGTTTATTATTATTTGTGTATTGTCAATGTTTAAAGTTTATTGTTATTTTAGGTTTTAGATGTTTTCATTTTTAATATAATTAACAATTAATCATGTGTACAATTATGAAATTAAATACGCTCAAAGAGTATTTCCTTGCATGTTTTATCTACCACGGGTTTTCTTTTTAGAATGCATTATTTGTTTTCAAGTGTTTAGTATATATAAAAGTAAATGTGATTTATATGTTATATTTATCTAAAAAATAAACTGAAATCATAATATATTATATACCTATGTCCTTTATAGCAGATAATAGCATATCAAATAATTATGCTGAATGCTGGTGTAACGCACATAACTTTTGTTTCTAAATTATATTAAATTAAAACTAAAAATTATAAAGTTAAAAATTACACATTAAAAATAAAAAACGATTAACCTACCACAGTAAAATTTATAAATTTCAAAATAACATAACCTAACCTACACAGTTTTAGTAAAAAAAAATAAATCGTTTTAATTTCAGAGCATCAGTCCGGGTGGAGTAGAAACCGAAATGACTCAGGAGCTCAGCAAATTGGAAGGATTTAAAATGTTGAAATCTATTGACATTGCTGAAGCTATTATGTATGCTTTGAGTACTCCGCAACGCGTTAACGTAAGTTAAAAATACTTTTTCTTTAAAATTTCTTATCACTCATAATATGCTATAGTGATGTAAGATGTTACCTATATTTTGTGTTCATCATTGTTTTTCAAAAAAGTTCTAACTAATAGTTACCATTTACCCGTTTGTTAGGTTAGGTTATCTTCTTTTATACATTAATTATAATCAGACCACTTTACTTACATATATATTTTTAGATTTACTTATCTATAAATTATAGATATGTAGTTATGTATCTTATTATTTATTGTTAGATACCTTGTCTATATTTAAGATCCTTGAAAAATATACATATACATTATAGGGTGGTCCTTAAAACTGAACTTTGAAAATATGTTAATTATACAACCTAAATTAGTTTGAATACTTATAAAAACGACGTATAAAAAGTTTTAGGAGAATCGGACAATATTAACCCGTGCCACAAAAGGGTTGAAGTTGCGAATCCCTGTTTTGTAGAAAACAACATAGTTTGATATGTTTTTCAAGTATATCACAAATAACAATGACTGTATCGAAAAAAATATAAGAATCTAATTTTTTTGAAATAACATTTTGTGTATTTTTTATTCTTATACATTTTTCATAAAACAAATATATAAAAAAAAATTTTTATTTTATTAATGTTTATACTCAGATTCAAATTTTTTAAAACTTTTTATGTAAAATAGTACTCTTCTTGGAGTCTGGGTTTTTTTTGCGGTAGTCACACACAACTTGGAGCAAATATTGTTTTTGAGTTTCATCATTGGTAATTTTTGTATTGTATTCCTCTATAAGTTTAACTCCTCTTTCAGCAATATCATTGACTACATTTATGTTGGTGACAATGGCAGTAGATTTTTTTAAATGTTCATTATTAGTATTATTCAGTATTTATTTTGAAACGTTTAAAGAATAGATCTTAGGATCTATTAAGGAATTAGATCTTGGTAAGGTGCTCTCGAAGCCATAGGTGCAACAAACCAGGATTTTATGTATAGCCGAATAATGACACACACACTGGCAATAGACATTTCTTCTTTCTGTGTTAAACAAAATTGACTTAGGAATAAAAATATTTTCAAACAGTATATGTATAGCTTTTGCCATCCACCTGGCATGATGGATGGCTCCGGATACTCTTAAAGAAATTCCTCGAGGGGGCACTCCCCCAAGAAAAATAATTCTAACAACTCTCTATAATCTTCCATTGGTTGTTTAATTTGTAAATAATCAACTACAAAATTAATTACATCAGAACGCACATCACTTACATTTTTTTGTATAAACTCATTCATAGTTTCACTAGTTCCAGGTTCAAATTGTTCGGTATTTAGATTTCCCCAATATTGTTGAAACCTTTTAAATATTGGTACATCTGGACCAGATGTCGTGCCTAGTTTTGTATCAAAAACACATTTTAAAACTAACTCATAAATATGGTGACGACATGGTAAATATAAAATGTTACGCTCTAAGTAATTTTCTAATAGCGCACAAGCACCTCTAATTCTGCCAGTGTTTGAGGCCGTAGTTTCACAACAAAAAGCTTGAACATTTTCTATGATGCAGCAATCATTTTGTAACAACAAATATTTTAATGATAGTCTAATGTTAATATTTACTTATCGACAAAATAAATAATATATTTTTTTTTTTTCAAGATTTGTGTAATTATTATTTTTAAAATATAATTTTCGAGATAAATATTAAGTTTATGAAAAAATGTTTAAGATTATATTTATATAAAATATTTTTCTTAACAAATTATGTATTATCGTTTTTTTGTATAGTTTAACTTGTACAATTCACGTGGAACTTTTTGTACATCGTTTTTAAGTGTATTCAAATATTATTAAAAAGTATAATTTAAGAAAAGACATAATTAGAAATTCATACCTAATAGACTAGGACCACCCTAATATACAATTAATATTTTACCACTTATAATCAATTATTGCTATAATTATTTCACGAAGGTAATCGTCCGCTATAATTTTCTCTGTACTGTTCATATTTCATGAATTATGTAATAGTGACATACCACATACACCATCCCGGTGAAATGTGAATTATTATTATATGCCCTAGGGTTATAGACCCCCCAACTTCGACCGTTGTTGTTTTTGCTGGTTTTTCGTAACCATGTATGCCTATTTCCGAAATTCGTACGACGTCCCTTCCTAGTCCAAATGGCGATTTACACATCCAGACATTTATTTAGCACCTCTCAAATAGACCGGATCTAGTTAAGTTGCTATTTTTAGCCCATAACTTCGTGTTCATATGTTTGTAATACAGATACATTTTGTGTTAAAAAATTATGTGATACAATAAATTGATACATTTATTAGAGTTTGTATTTATAAGTTTTAATTTTTGCAGGTAGCTGAAATCATCATAAGACCAACACATGAGAATACATTAAGTTTAATCAAGAATTTTATATAGATATTGTTGCATATTCAGCATTTATGCATGCTGATATATGTAGTATAAATTGAAGCTATTGAAGATTTCCGGCCCGTTTATTTTTCCAAGACCATTATCAATGATATATAAGGGTTGTTATAATATATTAAACTATAATATTTGAACAAGGATTTGTGTTTCGATTCGTATTATACACTGCAGACCTGCAGTGCTTATTTTATACTTCCAGGTTAAGTCTTTTAGATTCTTAGTAAAACAATGGGGATGTATTGACTTTTCAATGACGTGTTTTTTTTGTGTATGCGTAGGTACAAGTTTCATTTTAAAAAATGATTCAATCTTCAATTCTAAGGAACAAGGGTGATTTCTGATACGAAATTGTATTTAGTTGGAGCCCATTGAGAGATCAATATTGAAATTTATTTTTACCTACCTCTCATCGTTTATCTATTATCTGCAGTTAGAACTTGGAATACTTCAATAATTCCATGAAATATTTATTCTTCATATTTAAATATTATATTTTATAAACCAGATGAATTTATTAGATTTTAAGTTTCCGGTTAAATTTGTTCCAGTGACTAACAATATAATAAAATTAGGTAGTCCTAAAAGTATTGTGACGAACATCTATTGCAATATACTAACAGACAATAATAATTACAGACGCAGCACTCGGACCAGACACAGGCACCACCACACAAATTCTTACATTCTTACACAAAACTAAACTGTATACAGTTATATATAATAAAATTCAAAACAAAATTTTAATTTTAAATTGTAACTAACGGCCATTGTAGCTGATGTTAATTAAGAACAATAAAAATAATAATAATAATAATAATAATAATTACGCATTGGCTAATAATAATATAAAATTGATTAAGCTAAAATTAGTTTGAGTTAAGTACAATAGGTACTAAAGTTTTAAGCTAAGTGATATTTACAAAGAAAAATAAAACATTTTAACAAATGAAAATTTCATTAAAACTAATTAGGTATACCTAATAGTTTATTTTTTTCTTATATATAAGTATATTTTTAAAAAGTCTAGGCTTTTTAAAAGTGACAAATAAATATATATTGTTAAAATTATAAATACAAATATTATGTTGCCTACATATTTGGTTATCAGCATATATGGAGCTATAGTTAGTCCAAGCTGTTTATGTTTGTTGGTACACGAATATTGATAATATATTTTGTATACCTAACGGGTATTCGCTAGGAGTGATTCACCTTGGCTAAATTACACTTAAACCTGTATTAAATTAATAGAATAGTTCTAATAATTTATATGAATGCATGGTGCATTATATTATGAGTTCTAAATGAACAGAATTATTGTTTACGACATTGTAATACGTGGGCTTCAATAATAGAAATTAAATTAGCCTATTTAGAGTCCATATTTTTAGCTCATAAATATGTGAATCATAATCTTGACCCCAACATATTATACATTCATACTTATTTCATAAGTGTGAACAATTTACGTATCGTGTTTTACCTCTATATGTGCAAAGAGATTTGAAAATTTTAAACAAGGTTCCCCTAAGTCATAACTTATAACTCAAAACTCACATAATTTCAGTATTTCACATTTTAACAAAAATTGATTATTTAAACGAAAATAACAATTTTAGTTCAAAAAAAAAATTTTCTTATTTTCTTTTTCTTTTGAAACTTTTCTTCGATGCGTAATTATTATTTACTATACCTACTTACATAAATAATGACGTTTTATTATATTTATACCACAAATTTATTCACACCGTTCTACGGTAGGTATATACCTCTATCTAGATACCACAGCTATGTCTGTATTGACTTATAAAAGTTATAGCATTTAAAGTTCAAATTTTGACAAAATACGAAAATGTGCAGATTATTTTGAGTTAAAAATACATAAAAATTTTATTTTTAAATCTAACATTGGAAAATTTAATACAAGATTCCTCATAAGTATGTCTACCTTTATCAAAAAAAAAATATCTACCTGAAAGTCAAATTAAATTTTTACATCATTGGATATTCTTTCGATTTCTCATGTTGACATGTAGCGATTTTCTTATTTTGTTGTAATTCAAACACGAATAACTGTAGATACTTGAATTTTACAGCATATAACAACTTATCAATTCCCTTACTTAATAATATGTACAAAATATTTTGATCTGTTTTGAGCTGTTTACTACGGATATTTTAATTTTTTTTAGTTTTTTTCTTTAATTGTCAATAAATTGTCATTTGTTGGGCCAAAAAGCATCAACATTTAATACAATGCTCCTGCTATATTTTTATTTTACCAGTTGAAAAATTTTTAAAATACATACAAGCAAATTTTTTTTATAAGTATTGAAAGTTTGAATTTTGACAAAATGTGTTGAATTTTTAATTTTAAAATTATGTTGTAGTTAAAAATGTATAAAATGTTTAGCTTTTATAGCCAAGGATTGAAAATTTAAAACAAAGTTCCACGTAAATAGGTAAATAAATTACTTTATTCACAAAAATATCATCAAAAATAATATAGGTACTTAGTAATATTATAGCCCGACTGTCTTCGCTCAGAATCGTTTTTCTTATACAATGATATTATATCATTGAATTCAAATTTAACACTATCCATTCCAGATTACAGTGATCCAATTGTGACCTACTGTACAGCAGAGAGATACCCACTTTTTTAAATATGGCCCTTCCATTTCAATTAATTTATGCCACATTAATATAGCGAACGCCAAATACTATACTAACACTACAATACGACACGACTATCGACTGCGCTGTACTAAATTGTATTAACAACTCGTATGTTGTACGGTTCAATGATTGTGATAATAATTATTGTAAAATCTCATAAGGGTACAACCGATTTACCGATAAGCCGATAATATTGTAGATGAAAATATAATTTTGAAACGACGATAATTGACGAGATAATATTGAGAGTTTTGTATATTGGTATGTACCTGGACTTGTACTTTTAATTTTAAGTTTTTAGTGTTTAAAGCATCTCAGCATTTTCACTAGTTAGGTATTTTTAAGCTCTGGTTGTTTGGGTATTTAACTTGTTGGTGGTAGTTCTCTGTTTCTGCATTTCTGAATAATCAATTATATTGTATTCATAATGGATGAATTCATTAAGTTCTTAAAAAATAATAATATTATTGCGGTTCTATCAAATGAAGTTTCTAATATAAATGAAAAGACCTCGATTCTTAGAGGTTATATTAATAATGTTAATGAAGTCACCTTACTGTGCTGACATAGGTACCCAATATTTATGAAACATGATTCTGAAAAAAAAATGTCTTATACATTAATATTAATCAAATAATGAGAACTATTTTTACTTACCTTGATGGATCGTCAAGCTGACCAACACGAATCCAATTAGTTTTCGAAAATTCTTGGTAAAGCATTATGAAATTCTCGACTTCATTAACATTATTAATATTGGCTCTAAGAAAACAACACAAACAACTAAAATATCGTTGCCATGTACGTGAATGTTTCAAAAATCTACAATTCATATCTGTGTCACATAGTTACCACTTGTCAATATTCATTTCTTGTGTTCATTACGGATAAATTTCATTCCTATACGTATCTCTGTATAATCTTCTCCGTTAATTGTGCCTATATAATATTTTCAAATAAATATGTCATATAGATGTGTATCTATGCCTAACATGGCTGCGATGTGTGAAAATTCCTCGGCCAAATCGACAGATATTGGATGGCGACCAACGCCAAATCTCAAGTTTAACCGTACCAATGATATACGAAGACCGGAACCGTCGAAAAGTTGTGATTCCGAGGGTTTTCTGGACGGCAGGCTCTGTGTATCTGAGCCAAACATCCCCGTACATCCAAAATTAGCTGGCGAGACAGCTGCAGATATTGGGTGGCGATCAACGCCAAATCTAAAGTTTCAGCAGGTCACCAGCGATGTACAGAAACCGGAAAGTCCGAGACACACACGTCCTCGTCGTTCATTTTGGCGCCAGACAAAGAAATTTGTCAGGTGGTTCCTTTGTTGTTGTGGTTCTGTTGACAAGATAGACCAGTAATATGTATATTATAGAGTTTAAAAGTTTTTAAACATCCCCTCCTCTCCTACCGTTATCTCAATTTTGTGTTCGCTGGTACTATTCTGAAACCGTTTATCATGTCCTCCATTGTCATTTGTACCAAGTTAGTGTAGGTTTGCCTCACGTATTTCATATTTTCATGTCTGTACCATCGTCGGCTCTTCACCACCTGTTTTGTTCTGTATTAATTAAATTAATATTATTAATATTATTATGTTACTCATATTAAACTTATTATTATAAAGTATGTACTGTGTATTAATACCTATCTATTAAATCTACCTCATTCGCTTTGCATAAATATATGTAATAATCCTATATGGTCACGCAGGTGGATATTGTATTGTCATGACTCATGGATGTCATCGATTTTCATGATAGTAAAAAAATTAAAAATTATCTATACTAGAGTGATTTACTTCACCTTCCGTTTAACCACCCCAAAATCGAGCCATGTACGGGTGCACATAATATTATATGAGCGATATATTATAAGTCCACGCCTCTTCGTTTCGACTAGTTACGAATTATATTATACTATTTACCTATTCGCAAACAGCTCGGTGTTATATGCCTGCGGATAATGTAATTTGTTCTGCATCGTGATATGGAAATAACCGAATACACACTGAAATAAACGTGCAACCATGTAGACGTCTCTGCGGCAAACACCGCGCCGTAAGTTTGAGCTTCAGTGGTAGGTAAACATTAATAGGTACTGTTAAAAATCGTGAGTAGTACTTAGAAGACTCTCCAGGCGTGTTATTCGCACACTCCACAGAGTCGGTATATTATACTGTAATACTATATAGGTGATCCGAGTTCTAATGTTGGACATCGATCCATCGATGGCTCGATGGCGAATTGTACACCCCAATTTTTTGTATACAATAATATTTATTAAAATTAATATAC